ATATATATATATATATATATATATATATATATATATTAATGAGATATAATATGTAAATATAAGTAAATAACAAGTAGATATTAAGTAGATAATAAGTATATATCAAGTAGATAATAATATGTGTGTATTTTTTTATGAAATAATTACATATATGACTAAAATAAAGATTGTTTACAAAAATGTGACTAGTAACTATAATAGTAATGGAATTATAGTAACTTATGCTCAATTTGTATACTTAAGTTACCATGACACTTCACTGTAGTAACTATTAGTCATATTTGTGTAAATAAGTTTAACTTTAGTAGTATTTTTTTAAAATCATTTTTACATACACAAGAGCAATTTAACCTGTCATATTTATACAAAGTATTGATAAATATACAATATGTGTGTCTGTGACTAGTCTGTGACTTGGCGCTAGGCGCTGCGTTGACCCCGCCTAGCGCCTTTTAGAACATAGATTTTATTATAAATTTAAACTTGGTTTTCATTTACTTTTACCAATTCATTTACACAAACCTGTCTTAGTTGTGGACCATTTTTTAAATATCGACTAAAATGGGGGTGCCGGATGCGGCTTGGTCAAGTGCGACTTTTTACAGCCGAAAATGAACAGTTTGATACTCCGTATAAGACTATAAGCAGGGGTGTATCTATGTTGGAGACAGTGAGGGTAGATGTTCCCCTCATCCCCAAATCTCTTCACATTCCATTTATATACTCCTTTCGTCCCATTTTATCTGTCTTACTTTCCTTTTTAGGCTGTCACAGAATAAGTGTCTCATTTCCTTTTTTGGAAAGAAATATGTGATCTACAACATTTCACTTTATTATACTCAAATCTCAATCACAACTTTTACTTTGTCAACCATTTTATTAATAATTGTGCCAAGTCAAAGTAGGATACATACAATAGGGCGGAAGTAGTATGATGTGTCCATTTTTTTAGTTATACAATCCACATGCACATTGAAGATGCACTAAGGTTCACATTGATAAAGAAAGATGACCAACAAATTTAGACAAATTAGGCATGAAAATGGGTAGGCGCAGGATAGATAGTGAAAGACTCAAACTCATCTCGTGACTTAACTAGGTGGATTCATCCCGCCTCATGACTCACACAAGTTATTAGATGTTAACCCATAACACGAAGGAATGAGTGGACAGAGGCTATGTGTATGAATGGGTTGATTTAGATGGAAGGATAAAACTAATACTACCTTCGTCCCGCAAAGAAATTCTCACTTTCCTTTTATGAATGTCTCAAAAAGAAGTTCTCATTTCTATAAAAGGAAATCACTTTTAACCAAAAAGTCACAACTACCCTTACTTTTTATCCACTTTTTGTTTGATTTGACATAAAGTAAGGGTATACTTGGAAAGTCAAAACAAAACTCTACCTTACATAAATATGTGTGTAGGTCAAACTAGGAACTTCTTTACGGGACGGAAGGAGTATATATAAAAATAGCTCTAAATAGTTAAAAGAGGGCTGCCACCCCCCATTTCGAATTAGCCTTAATATTTGAAGTAATGGCCTAAATATTACTTCTAGGGTTTTGTTGGACGAAAATATGACTAATTTGGTCTGGAACAAAAAAGTGACTTTGGAAAGTGGAACGTATGTATCCTTCTTCAATTCGGTCGCCCAAACTCTTCCTCTCCCAAGCGGACTATCTTCCCTGCATCGATAAAGCCTCCAACGACAAAGCCTCCAATGATGAAGAATGATAAAGATGCGGCGAAGATGACAGGTTGCCCCGCCTCCAGATAGTCGTTGCGATTCTACATGGCCATGTCCATGTCGTCGGTCGGATTCCATGTCGTCGTCTCCAGGCTTTTGCCTCCGAATCCATGTCACTTCAACCAAGTTGTCATCCCTTAATGTCGTGGTTGCCGTCATCATCGCCATGCCTCCTTCTGTATTTCTTCTTATTATATTCGATTGTGGGGGAATTTTTCGTCATCTTTAACATATCAGATTTGGGATGGGATGGTGGTGCAACAGCGATTAACGGAATCCAAATTGGCGGTGCGGCCTTGGTTTGGCGGTGTAAAGGGGGCAGGGAGAGAGGGCTATGTAGGGGCGGTGGTGGCCGGTGGCATCAGGGGACGACTGTGGCAAGAGAATTTGGGGGCTAAGGGAAGCTGGAGATGAAGGCCCGAAATGGGCTGGGATGCTAGCCGCCGGTGAGATGCAAGGGTGTTACTGACAGGGACGGTTGGTCACTGGATGGCGGTGGCTAGTCATGAGCGACGATGGTCTGTAGTTGTCGGAGGCAGTGGTCGGTGGTGGCCGCCAAAGAGGTGCATTGGCGAGGTCACTCAAGGGGTAGTTGGTCACTATGGGGCACCGACGAATCATTGTTGGTGGTGGCTGATGGTGGCTGGTGGTGGCACTGGTGGTTGTGTATTGTTTCGCCAGAAAGGGATACTGAAAATTTTTCGACGGTTATAGTGACAAAACTAGGGGTGGACTCGGGCGGGGTGGCCCGACCAGGAACCACCCCGGGACCGGCACTGTTCCGGCCCGGCCCGGTGAGTGACCGGTCCGAGTAGGCCCGACCCGAGGGGTTTCCGATCCGGGCTCGGTCACCCAAAACAAGGCACGGCCCGACTGGGCCCGAGCCCGGTTCGGGTCAAATTGATTTTTTTGTTTTTTTCATTTGTTTGGGCTCCACCCGAGTTGGGCTTGATGTTTAGGAGGCGTTTGGGGGGTGAGGAGGGTGGGTGAGGGGGTCAGGGATAGGTAGGTAAGCAAAAAAAACAATCACGAGGCCCAGACCGGACCCGGTGGCTACCCGGGCCGGTCCCGGGTCCACCTATTCAGACCTGCCGACCCGGCCCGAATCCACCCCTAGACAAAAGTGACATTCAAAAGTGACATAAAAATTTCCAGAAAGCCCTCAATCACTTGAATTTCTTTTGCCGACATGAATTGGCCGTGTGTCCCTGTGTATTATCTTCGGCAATGAAGGCGGTGCTAGATGTATTGCTTTATCTGTCACCTATTGCCAGTGACGATCAGATTATTGTCCAATTATTGAAGGTGAGATTTTACCATCGTTATAGCTCTTGAAGAATGATTCTTCTTCGGAAGCTCATGTGGCAGCATCCATGGAAGCTCTTAAAGGATAGTTCTTAATTGTTTAAAGGGATAAGGGTCAGATAGGGCCTCTAACTTTCAAAAAATGTCAAATAAGGTCTTATATAAGATGATCTGTCCGGCCGACGTCATTTGGGGCGGTTCTCGATGGAATTTTTTGATGAATTTTTTTGAGAATCTTATTCATCAAGTCTAGTTTAGTCATACCAAATTTGAACTAAAAATTCAATCGAGAAGGCATTCAAATAAATTCTTGAAGATAACTGCGCTTTTAACTACGCAGTTATTTTCAAGAATTCATTTCAATGCCTTCCCGATTGAATTCTTAGTTCAAATTTGATATGAGTAAACTAGACTTCACGAATAAGATGCTCAAAAAAATTCATCGAAAACTTTAACCGGGAACCACCCCAAATGGCGTCGGACGTAAAGAGCATCCTATATATGACCTTATTTGACATTTTTTTGTAAGTTCGAGACCCTATCTGACCTTTATCCCTTGTTTAAATGATGAAGAAAGGGTTCGAGCAATCATTGATCACCTTACGTTATTTATATATATATATATATATATATATATATATATATATATATATATATATATATATATATATATATATATATAATGTATACATTTTAACTTGACTCAAGTTGCATTTCATGTAAAGCGATTTACATTTTTTTATTCCGTAGTTACATCATTTTATGGACGAGTTACATCCATCATTTTATTCGCGAGTTATATCTCAGAATAACTTCTGCTATTGAAACCTAGAAAAGATTTTTTCAAATCATTTTTATGGCTCTGATATTAAAAGAAAAATAATTCACTATTTACGTAAAATAATCGAGCAATTAGACTCTTTTTTCATTGTGTACATTGAAATCAATGTTTTATTTCTTATGCACCGTATTGGATAAGTTACATTTCGACTGGCCTACAATTACATTTTTTATCAACGTAAGTTACATTTCATTAGATGTGAGTTACACCACAATATTACTGAGACAAAAAAAATTTAAAAATTACTGTTCATGTGTGTTACTGTTCACGCGTGATTTTTTTTATTAAATGTTGTGCAAAACTACATCGTTTTGAGAGGAGGAGCATGGTCCTCACCGTGGGATATACGAACAGCAAATAACCTTTCATATTTACAAATCATTACAAAAATAAACATTTTTTTACAAATCATTTCAAATTTCATCAACAATCATTACAAATCTCAAAATAGAAATTACCCTAAATACGACTAAAGTTTATCTAAAAAGAAAAAATAGGTCTACTACTTTTTAATTTCCTCCATGTAGGACTAATCATTGATTTCTACCCTAAATACCCCTAAAATATTAGGTAGTACTCCGTAATTCATAATGAAATGTCTTAATGCATAATAAAATCATAATAAAATCATAAAAAATTGTAAAAATATTATAAAAATAATAAAATATTTATAAAATAAAATTTTTAAATATGATTTTTTTGAATTAATAAAAATAGTAAATCCCCAAAAAAAATGGAGTATTATCTTGTAAAATATGTACGGAGTATTATCTTGTAAAATATGTACGGAGTATGAGATATATCATACACGATTCATCATTTTTTTGTATAACTCATTTTTGCCATTCCATATCAGCCATTACAATTTCTGGACCACTTGAAGGATCCAGCGAGTCGAGAACGGATCAGTAAATAAACCCACACTGTCTCTGGCTAGAACTATAAAACAGGACCAGTTAAAATCTACGTCTGGATGGAAGTCAGTTTCCGGGTTTCGACTACGTCTATCCTGCGGTTCCCGCCCCTAGATTAAAGAACATACTACCAAATAAACTGACTTGAGGGAAAAGCTATATTGAAAAATAATCATAAAATGGCAGTACAGATTATAAGAAATATTACATTCAAAATCTGAAGCGCAAATGTATTTGGATTCGCAGAAGTAACAATGAAAAATTCATCAGCCAAAAAATCATTTGATGTGTATACCCTCCAATTCACAAATCCTTGTTTAGCAAGTACTATGTATATAATTGTATAAGAATAATTTTCCAATTCAAAGCTATAAAAAGAAATGAAAAGAAAAGAACCTTTGAATGACAAAACTTTTCTACTTCTATCATCTACAAGTAATGCAACTACAAATTTTGGAGTTTGGGAGATGAAAAGAATGGATTACCAACACCTTTGACGCACTTTCAGTGAGTGGCACAACTTTGAATATAAGTGTCGCTCTGGTTTAGGTAGTGTTCCCATATAGGCTTATACCTGCTGATGCCTAACTTCCCCCACGGCTTCATATTCCCATTGAAGTGAATCACCGCCGCACTTTCTATAAGCCGACTATCAATGTCGAGGTCATAGCCCAACCCCAGAACATGCCACCTCCGATCCAATGGCTCGATCAACCCATAAAACGCCAATAAAGCAGGAGGAAGTATCCCAAGCTTCCAGATAGTCATGTCAGCATTCTGCTCTATCCAATAATGATATCTACCAGTCGCGTTTGCTCTCTTCCAAGCAATCAAATCAAACACATTCAGCCCAAATGCCCACCCGCATGCCTGTGGGTCGAACTTAGAGCTGATGAGCGGGTTTGAGAAGTTGACATACTTGTAGAGGAAGTGAAAACCTTCAAGACAAGTTTCCACTGCTCCATTCACATTACCATGCAAATCCAGTAAAAAGAGTGACGCCAGATCCTTCTGAACAATGACATCATCTTCTAGAAAAACTACCTTCTCCAATTCAGGATATATTTCCGGGATGTAAAACCGGAGGTGAGTCAATAATGACACATACTTTGACTTTTGGTAAATATCCGTCGTAATATCTTTGACGACAGGCGAATAAGAAGCATTTAACCAAGTAAAGTCTTCAACTTTTTGCACTTCAATTGTTGACCCTTTAAAATCGTTGCTTAGGAACCATGCCTGCATTGCCCCATAGTTTATCTCATCCGTGACAATGTGGAAAATGAACTGTTGGGGATGGTCAGCATTTGAAACGGTCGAGTTAATAACAACCGAAACTGCCAGCAGATTGTTGGAGAATATGCAAAAGTGGTACAGATTATTGTCTACCAACCGAAGAGAGTTTCGAACCTCCTCTGCAAGATCTTGCAGAGGCTGTTTTTTAAGCCAATAAGCAGTGAGCATAACGTCTAGGCAGTGCATATTTCTGGATATTGATTCAGCACTCAACAGTCCAAACACTTCCTTCTGTACAAATGCCACACCTGCTCGCTCCTCTAATGCTTGAATGTGTGATTTCATTGTTTCCATTGTGGTGGCAATGTCATAGTGTGCATCTTGTGCCTTGAAGATTAAAGATGAGAGGCTTCTAATGATTGGCTCTGCTTCGTCTAAAGAGATTGGCTCCTCCCTCGTTGCAGCCTTTGAAAGCAAAGATTGGCAGCTTCTAACCTTTGAGCTAAGCTGCCATGCAAGATGAAGATTATTGTTCTCCTTTGCAATAATTACATAAGCTTTGGCAAGTGTCATTTGCTCTATTAATTGTCTGGCGTAGGATCTGGCACTCAAAATTTCTTGGGTAAAATTAAGAGGCTCGTGTATAACCTGTAAATTTTTGGAACCATCTCTATCCTGCAAAGAAAAAGATAAGTCATTACATTCCACACCACAAGAGATACAACTTATCATAATGTTTAAAGGTTTCAAGTGTCAAAGCCCTCTCTGCCCTCGATATACGAATTCTGCACACTAGCCCCTTGTGATTAAAAATGTGTAAAATCCCTCGTGTTATAATCAGTCAAGTACATAACACCCTGAAGCAACAAATTTAGCAGTTTAAAAATTACATGCCTTAATGTTATGATTAAACATGCAAGTAAATTTGTCAATATCTCCAAATTAAATAAAAATACTAATTATTTTTCTTTTATTCGACAATTAAATTTGTTCTTGAATACGAGATGATGCGCATAGCTTATAGACAACAAGGGGGTTTGACAAATTTAAACCCTACATTTTATCTCCAAAAGTTTAAAAATAAAAATATGTAAACTACGCCTTAAAAGTAACATACTACAAGATAAACTGCCTTGAGAGAAAAGATATACTCCCTCCGTTCCTAAAAATTCTTCCCGGTTTGACTTGGCACGCTTATTAAGAAAGTGGAATAAAGTGGAAATGTATGGTTGTGGTTGTGTAAGAAAAAGGTAAAATGAATGTGAACCACACAAATTGTTCAAAAGGGGAAAGTGGGAAGTATTTTTGGGAACAACCCAAAAAGGAAAGTGGGAAGTACTTTTGGGAACGGAGGGAGTATTAAAAAAGAATCATAAAATGCCAGTAAGGATTATAAGAAATATTACATTCAAAATCTGAAGCGCAAATGTCATGCATCGCAATGCTTCAGGGAAAAAAACCAAAGCCAAAAGACATCACACCCATTATGTGGCGCCTAGAGAAGTTATTGCGAATTTCTTTATACAATTCTATTTGGATTCATAGAAGTAACAATGAAAAATTCATCATCCAAAAATATAATGATGATAATAATAATATTTTAAGAATAAAAAAATATTATAAGCGTGAAAAATAAAAGCAGTAGTATCGGTAATTTGAAAATAAATAACAATATAAAATACTGTAGAATTGAAAGTGGTAATTTATAACTTTTTACTACAAAACTAGTTTTCGAGATCAAAATAGTAGTAGTCCACATACCACAAGCAGTAGTACTTATCACTCGACAATGACATTGAGTTTAGTATCATGCTTGCTACTCTTGTCATAACTAAACTAAAGAGAAAAATGAATTAGGGAGCCTCTGTAAAGTTTCAATCCAGAGGCATTCATACGCAATCTTAGCACCATGCCTACGTTGCATCTAAAATTAACTAGTCAGAGTTTTCAATTGTTCTTTTAACAATCATGGGCAAGTAGAAGTGTAAAACAAGTCCCTCATTTAGAGATGATGGAATAAATATGTTGTTTACACATTTAATACAGTTCAAGAACTCAAGGGCCCTTCAAAGTTCAAAACTGTTGAACCTACATGTTCAAAAACTGAAGCTTTGTTTCATGAAACTACAGTCTACAGCAGCTAGTTTAGCAGTTGCGACTTGATTATGTTAGCAAATTATATTATATTTGCATGTTAAATTACTGTGCATTTATTGGACAGGGGTAGGTGAATACAAAAAGCTCATTTACAGTTAAGATCAGTGAAGGACATGGAGCATGGGGGCAGGCGCTTTGCTTCCAGTTCGGAAGAATAGGATTAATACTTAGGTAATAGACTGACTGATGCTCCGCTATGGATTCAATTGAATAGTGTTAGTTCTTATGACTATTTTTTACTTCATTCATACCAAAATAAAGTTCCCATTTGAGTTTATAGTGCTTAAATGACGATAAAGTTACCTACTCAAGATGATATTTAAATTGGTATACGTAATTGCATAATATTATACGGAGTATATTTTTAGAGCTACATCAGAGTAACATTTAACCCCAGAAAAGAATATGAATATGATAAAAGTTCAATAAATAAAATCAAATATTGAAACCTAACATACTCTCATTCTAAATCACAAATGGTGTTAAGACAGTCCATTTCAAGATTCATATATGAAATGGACTGAAATCCAACTTTCATATATTTTTCGGGAGTAAATATATTTTTATCCACATTATTATATTAATGGAGTAAACATTAAGATGGTCTCTAACCGAAATCCAACTTTCATATTTTTTTCTTTTGAAGATGTTTACTCCAGTTTGAGACCATCTAAACCGGCAGAAAGCGTTTTACAAGAACCGAACGTCTGAACCAAAAGTATTATTTAGACACATGAATTTGCCGGGCTTAAAATGGGCCAAACCCAAACCTTCTAAAAAGTTTTAGGTACACCACGGGTAAGATCAAAGGAGAAAAATGTCTGCACGAAACAATGACTGGCAATTGCTTAAAACCATGTTGTATACCAATCGAATTGTAGTTCACTCCAAGGTCACACTCAATTTTCTTGAAAAGGTTAATCATGAAATGCAAAATATTTGGAAATAAATCAGCTTTATCCATATTGCAGAACTAAGGAAGTTAGAGTAGGATTCTGAAGATGCAGGCGTACCAAAATAGGGTGTTCAACGCGATCCCCACGATCATATTGATGATGCATGATAAACAAAAAGCATCCGGCGATCAAGAATATTCCGAGCAGCGCCCAGATCCAAAAAGACAGGCTCCTCCGAATCGGGCGCCGATGATAATCGGCCGCCCGTCTCCGCATCTTTCACCGCCCTCTTCCACAATTCACCACCGTAGCAAGAACCCCAAGGAAACCATCTGAAAATTGAACCCAGATAAGCCTGCGACACCGTACTAGATATCAGCAACTCAAATCCTATTCCTAAACTCCTCTCGCGCCAAAATCAAAACTCCTGAAAACGATGACCCTTCCGTTCAACTCAACCAGAAACTATGAATCTCAGTTTCGGCTTTCGAGAAAGGAAAATTTCAATTTGATCTCTAGCCAATGAAAAGAGGTAGCTTTGCACTCAAGTTCAAGTTGAGAATATCAGAGAAGACAAAGAGGAGCAGAGAGTAAGGGAGCTTTTCTCGATAAAGCAAACGTCACTGAGATTCGCCCTTTGAAATAGCGGATTGATCTTACAAGATCGATCGGGCGGGCTGAAGGGGTGATTAGCGGAGAAAAGAAATGCGATTAAAGATGGTATGCACTTTATTAAGCTGCTACTAGTATAGGTAACCAAACGGACATTAACAAAATTACTATTAAAGAGATCATAAATTGTACCCAAAAAATTACGACATCATAAAACAAACATGTATTGTGTGGAAGGAGCCGGTACATGACGAAGTCTGCCATGGATGGTTTCTTTTTTTTGTTCATTGTGATGATGAAGGCGTAATGTGCAAAATTCACACACGGAGCACATGGCCTGTGATCCAGACACCCTTCTGTTATGTGTGGAATGTCGGTAGTTTAAAATTCTTGATACTTCCACTCAGTTGCTTTCCTTATTGGAATGTCCCTTATTTAAATTCACACTTCCATCTTAAGAAACAGTGCACTTCACAGTAAAGTCAAATTTATTTTCTTAATATGTGTGAAGTCAAACTGGAAACTTTAATAGGGACCGGAGTATATTTTAAAGAAAATCCCTAAACAGGCCTAAAAACTTTCGGGGAGCTCATAAATAGAACTCTGACTCATTTTGTCTTATTTTGGGAAGTTCCAATCGTTTTTTAAAACGATTAAATAACCCATATTTGGGGAATAAAACATTATAATTTCTATTTTTGAATTTTGTGTATGTTTTGTTCCATATTGAGCAGTTTCAATATTTTTTTATAAATATCAATATTTTCGTAAAATTTATAGTCAAAAAATATATCTTTGTATAAATATCTTTCTTCAATAATTTTCTCATTCTCCATCAAAATACTAAAATATTAATTGTGATTTTACATTTTTAATATTCAACATAATTTACAACTAAATTTATTTTTTTGCAATACTTTTTTATATTCATAGACTTTTTTTGCAATACTTCGTATATTTTTCATGTTCACACTTTTTCTATAATATATGCTTATCTCTTTTATAGATAGTATGTTTTTAGTGTTTTTCAAGACAATGAGTTTGTTTCAATTTACATTTGATAAAAGATGAGATTACATTTGCATTTGTGCGATTTACATTTCCACATGTGCTACTCATGTGACTTACATTTATACATGATTTATGGAGTTATATTTGATAACTTGAAGTTACATTTTCTAATGGGATTTACATCTTTATGTCACGAGTTACATATTCTTATGGGTGGTCAACATCTTCGTATGCGTAAATTACATATTTTTATGTCGAATACATTTGAACATGCCTCAACAAGTTACATTCTCCATACACGCGAGATACATTTTTAATCAACACAAATTACATTTGTCATAACGTGAGTTACACCACAAAATAAATCTCTGCTATTGAAACAAAAAAAATCAGTATTCACGCGTGTTTTAATTGCAGGAGTATGATTTTTTAAAATATATCATTTTTATAACGCTTATATTAAAAACGAAACATATTCACTATTTACGTAAAGTAATTGAGCAATTAGACTCCATTTTTCATTGTTTACATTGAAATCAGTGTTTTATTTTTTATACTCCATATTAGACAACTTATATTTCAATTTGCATCGAGCTACATTTCCCAACAAAGGGAGTTACATTTTTTTAAATGCGAGTTACATCAATACTGAAATAAAAAACTAAAGTTAATGTTCACGCGTATTTTAAGTGCGAGAGTATAACGACTGAGCATCTCCTTTGAGATAGTGTAGTGAAGTATATCCTAGGAAGTAGGAGAAAGTAATTAAAACATTGTGCCGAGGGCTCTTTGTACTGGGGGCCTCCCTGTGTCGAGGGTTTGATTTTAAAGCTTTGTTCTCCTGTGATGTTTCTGGACTTGATTGCATGCATGTTAGCCTTCGGGCATGGTGACGAAGGCACCCCTTGCGTATTACAGGCTGCCTAGAGTCTTGTTCTGCTGGGCTTGGTCCATTTGGACCTGTTGGGCCTGACTGCAGTAGTAGGAGTATGTAGGCCGGGGGTCCCTAGGCCATGTACTTCATCGGTAGGTCTTACATATATAATTATGAGATGGAAAATGAGAACCACGTGTAAAGGTGTGTAAAAGGACTAAACATCCCATTAGAGATGCTCTAATTTGATGTAAAATTGTACAACAAAAGATTCATCATCAATAATAAAGTTCAATACATAAAATTGAATGATTGCGTAAAACTATCATAAGTCACACAAAACCATTTAAAGTTTTCTTGTGTCATTGAAGACCCCAAGTAAGTCTTCAGTTTTAACTTTGTCCCCTATTTTCTCATCAACTAGGAAATATCTATTGGTCAGATAGTTTGTTGTTTTATTTATAGTATTTCTTTCTTTTAACTTCATTTTTATTCATAAAGATGCATTTGTAAAATCATTGTATGAGATAATAATGTCATTCAATGTTGTAGTTAAAGTAATTTTGAACGACAAAACTTTGGTGCTAGATCCATCATTGTTACACACCTCTTGTTGAATTGATGATAGCGTTTTAAGGTATGTTTGGGAGTTACAAATTTGAAGGTTAGATCTCATAGGGGAAGGAGAGGAAATCCTCATGTTTAGGAGTTACAAATTTGAATAAAGAGAAGGCAAGGAGGAATAATAATTAAAATTACTTTAAAGATATAACGAAGTTGCAGAATTGAACTTATATTCATTTTCGATTAAGTTAAATATTCATTCTTATTAAGTTAAATTTATAATTTAGTTATCTTTTAAAATCTTCCAATTTGGAGGAACTAAAAAATTGAGTATTTGAAGGGTTTTGAAGAATCACCATTGTCCACTCACCACCTTCTAAAACCATGCCTTCAAAATTTTTTACCCTCCAAATTCTTTCCATCCCCTTCAATGTTCAAAATATAACTCCCAAACATACCCTTAGAGAATCACACAAATATATTAATGGATGATGGGTACATTCAATGGGACATAACCTACAACTATTGGATCCATCGCAGTTTTAAAAAGAAAAAAAATAAGTAGCAAGACAGAGTGGAAACGTGCAAGTCAGCAAGTCAACATAAATTCCAAGTGTTTCTAATGTCACGTATCTGATTGTTTAACATTGCCCCAATTCTTCAAAAAAAAACATCGCCCCCAATTAAAATATCTATAAAAAAATAAGGGTTTCTGTCAAACGCTTATTAGGGGTGCACATAAGCTCCATAGAGCCACAACTCCCTCTCAAAGAACAAAATAAATAAAAGATATGAACAATATGAATTAACGAATGTGTGGGGGAACCACGTTTTACTACGAATCAAAGATTACCAGATTTCAATTTCACTATGACCATCTTCAGTGACACAAGCTCTGAACATACCAGTTGTATTGAATGGCATGGTGACCTCTCCTGTGGCAGAAACCGCAATAAGACCAGCAGTTCCTTTTGGAGTACACTGGTTTATGACGTAATCAGACGCCTCCTTGACAGAAATCCCTTTGAACTCCATGAGGGCGGCTACATCTCTTGCCACTGTGGCACGGATAATAGATTCACCTTTACCGGTCGCAGATACAGCACAGAAGTGGTTGGCATATGTGCCAGCACCTATGATGGGTGTGTCACCGATCCTTCCCACCATCTTGTTCACTAATCCTCCAGTAGAAGTTGCAGCAGCCAAACTTCCATTACCGTCAACAACTACACATCCAACTGTCCCAATTTGGCTATCCCCGATAGGAATTGTTTCACCCTTCTCAACTCTTGGCAATGGTGTAGTATAATCGATCTTGCAATTATAAAATGGAAGAGAGAATTTCACTTTTTGTCCTTTGCTATAATTTATTTTTCATTTTTAGGCTTCCACTTCAATAGGGATGCCCATCTTGATGCTCCACTTCAAAAAGGATTCCACTTTGGTCATCCATTAGGTTTGAGTTAGATAAATGATAATTTAGAGGATATAATATGAAGATGGAAAGCTTTGGGTCAACATTGCAAGAAAATTTGACACTGCTGAGGCTTCAGCGAACAAAAGATGGTTTTTTTATGCAAACACGAAGTAGAGATCACAACTTGTTATACAAGGAAACTTGCCCTCATTTGGTACAATAAGGTTACCGAGGACCAAAGAGACAACTAAATAAAGGAATAACGCTAAATAATGATATTTACCGCTATACCCCTCAAATTGAGGTTTAGTCCTAACAGATGACCAAAAGTGGAAACATTTTATTACTCAAGTATGAAAACTGTTCAATTTTGAAAGTGATGACCAGATAAGCAAAAAACAATATAGATGAAGGACAAATCTAGGTATGCATAGACTGTGCTCTATAGATATGCAATAGAATAATCTACTTGCACAGTTGCACAAGAGGGTAATAACATAACAGAGTTTGAACCATGATCAATATGCTGAGCTTCATCAGTATAGGTGCAAATTTTCAACTTGACAACTTTTAACGATTAATACAGTACAATACATGTACAACAACAACAACATCCAAGCCTTAATCCCAAAAGAATTTGGGGTCGGCTAACATGAATCGATCTACGATATCGATGCCAAAAAGAGAAGACGGACAAGACAGGGAAGAAAAAAGTAAAATAAAATGAATAAAATAAAGAAAAATAAATATAAGATAACAATAACACAAGAATATAAGAAAGATAAAAGATAAAACAATAAAAGAGCATAAAAAAGCTAGAAGATAAAAATAACATAAGAATATAAAAAGATAAGGAAGATAAACGATAAAAAAAAAAAAAGGAAAGGTAGAAAAGACATCAATTGTGCACACGAATGTGCACCCTCCACTTTGCTCTCTCCAAAGCCATACTCTCATCCAACCCAAGAAGACACTTCTCACAAGCTTGAAGATCATATACTCCAAGCTCGATACATAACTTTAAATAGAAAACTGGACACTAAAAACGTGAAACATGAACACCTAATTGAACTTTAATATGAACTGTACTTTAAATTATACTCAAAATTTGAACATCACTTCATTTCTTTTTACTGTAACTCAATTTCCTGTACTTTGATTCCTGTTGAACATCCTAAAGTGAATGACTCATTCAGGGTTTACTAGGAAGAAGTGGTGGTTGAAACATAAACCATTACAGCAGTAGCAGTTGTAGAAAAACCACCACCCATCCATTCTGAATTGGCAATATTCAGAATTTGTGATAGGATGAAAATTTTGGTAGTATTGATTTGGTTAGATCACATCTCAAACAGGATCACACCCCATCCCTGAGGGCCCCCCAGAACCGACCGGACAGTTAGATCACATCTCATGTGATGGGTGAGGGTCTGTGACGCAAGTTCCAGTATTGTTCTTGTGTAAGCTTTGATTTAACAGAAAGTTCAACGGATTGCAGTTGGTTTGCTTGCAGGTTCTAAAACTATT